GGAGGATTATTACTACTTTTCCTGTACATTTTGATTATTTTTTTGGGCTCAAGGACTAAGGATTCACGGCACGCATACGGACAATACTTCTCACGCATTGACTATTTGATTAAGGACTCTTGGATAAGTGTTAATTTTTCTGATTTGACTATTGAGTTATTATCTTTATCTGATTTTAGTATTGATACAGTTTTTTCCATTATTCATTCATGCCTTGTAAGTGCCCTGAACTTTTAAGTGACTTCTGGTATTGGTTGCAAGCCAAGTTTGTTACAACATTCCTCTTATAACCATAATTTAAAATTCACACAGTATACGTTCTGTTTACTTGGACCAGGCGGGATAGCCTTCATTGCCCTTGTGCATCAATGAGCCTTAGGTGCCCACACCCTCTCACCAGTTTGTGGGTTTGTCCCTCCTTGGAGAACTGTTGGTAAATTCTCACCACTGCTGACCAGGAGCAACCCACAAACCTTGCCGATTCAAAGATACTCTCCCTTCACCTTCTACAATTTGTCCCTTGTCAAAGCCTCTCAGATCTTTATTCCTGTCCATTTCTCCTGCATCAAAAATGATTGTTTGCTTATCCTCTAATCTTCCAAGCCCTAAAGGGATAGTTCACCCTAAAATTAAAATTCTTTCATTAATTACTCACCCTCATGTCATTCCAAACCTGTAAGACTTTTATTAATCTTTGTAACACAACTGAAAATCTTTTTGATGAAAATCTTTCCCCCCATAGACAGCTATGCAACTACCACTGTGATACTTCAAAAAGTACATGAAATCACAAAACTAATCCGTATGATTTGAGAGGTTTAGACCAAAATTTTCCGAAGAGACACAGTCACTTTATATGATGTACAGACTGAATTTAGTCCGAGGGGGTCGGACTAAAAAAATAAATAAAATCCTTTTCCTTTAAATCCTTGCTCATCTGGCTTAGGCCTATGTTACTTCGAGCAATGTCTGAACTTTGTATTTTGAGCACTTCTTGCATAGTTTTTGCCTCTTCACAATGACTCGCTTGATTTAGTCCTCAGTTGTAAGTCGCTTTGGATAAAAGCATCTGCTAAATGACTAAAAAAAAGGTTGTTGATATTGGCCTGTGGGATGTTGATCCACTTCTCTTCAGTGGCTGTTTCTGGATATTGGCAGGACCTGTCGTATATTGCATATATAACATATATTGTTATATTGCACAGGTTTGGAACAACAATTTCGTTTTTGGGTTAACTAAATCCTTTAACATGAATTAAGAATAAACAATAGTTCTAGCGTTTACTAATCTTAGTCAATGTTAATTTCAGCATTCATTAAAAATATATTGCATTGTAAGTTCATGTTAATTATAAAGTGTTACTGATTTACTTTTATAAGCTTTCCCCTTTCTTTTATTTGTATTTATGGTTAAATCAAATAATCTGTCTGGTTTCACTGCAACTGCATTTTCTCTACAGTTGTGGCATTAGTGCTCATCTCAAAAAAAAAAAAAAAAAGAGAGACTCATTTAAACTTTCAAAACATTGAATAAAACACTGGAACATGTAGTTTTCTGTGAAAACTTTTTTGTTGACAGACAAATAGACAAAAAAAAAAATTCAGCAATAAATGGTCTGGCCTGCCTAGTGGTCCTATTTAGAAGAGAATCACGTTGCACTGGAGACCATGTGCGAGGAGTGTGTATTTATGGTGCTACTAAGCTCAGATGGCTCCTAAACTATGGCCACTGGTTTGCAAATAAAAGTGGATACGGTCCTTATACTTTACTTTGCACAGTCAGAAAAACGTCTGAGTGTGCAGACTGCAGATAGAGGTTCTTGTCCTGGATTTCGCTGTAATGCTGACTGCCTGGCTGTATTTTATTCTCTGCCGCCCCCTGCTGTGTACAAAGCAATCGAGCATGAGTATTCCTTAAACCACTGTTAAAGAGATACTTCACCTCTGGAAAGTTAAATGTTTATTTAAAATGCGTCATTTATGTAGAGGAAATGTGAAATTATTTTTGAATGTTGAGCTTTCTAGACTGAGAAAAGCCAGAAAATGTATTTTTGGCTTATGTGAATGAAAGACAACAACTCCCAGGCAGAATGCACTTGCTTCGCTGCCCTAGGAAGCCACGCCTACCGATAACAGAGTGCAGTAGTTAAACAACAAGTCTAGGCTACTAGTAAGTCTCCTTAATGAGTCTAACCGAAAATGTTTTTTGAGATCGCTCAAAATGTCCGGTATTCGGCTTTTGCGTTATACAGTCGCCATTCATCATGTTTACTGTGGCGAGCAGGACGAGACTGAGGGCCGCGGGAGAACGGCTTGAGGATGAGCGACTCCTGTGAGTCACACCGGTCTCGTATCTCTCATGGAGGAGCGGGAATTTTCTTAGCAATGTTAAAACGCTCATCAACCGATCACTTGTTTAGCGTTCATGTAAACACTGTATTCAGATTCACCAATGGAATGATTTCAGTTAGATTGAAAGGTGTGCATGTAAACAATGAATGGCGACTACAGAAAGACATCGATGGCCGGACATGTCCGGGAAACAGAGGATGGTAACACCTACTCAGCTTTCTCCATAGAATAAGAGCCTGCTATAGCTTAGCTTCCAAATAAAGATGGCTGATATGTGTACATTCTGTGAGTGAGATCCCACCTTCAATGGGTGGGTTGAAAACATACGGAACAGCCCCCTACTACTAACTGTAGTATTTAGCCTGAAAAAAAAGGGGGCAAAAAATCATCCGATGACACAAAATTACGATTTTTACTTCATCTAAGGATTTTTTCCAGACAAAAAATATATATATAAATCTCTCATCTCAGGCCAGGGGGATATGAGGGTGGAAAGCATGGTAATTTGAAAATACTTCAGGTTTAATACAAAGCTTAATGCTAAATCCTGAAGCATCCTGTTAGAATTCAGGCTTTTCTGGTGCAACTTTACAAAACCAACAAGGTACACTTGTTGGGGAATGGCCTTGTGAAAGGAATTTGGAAACCTTTTGTCCCATTAAATATCATATTACTGAAAATAGGAATGCAATTACAAGAGGTGATATAACAAATCCAGTACCGAAACTTTTTAAAGAATCTAATCACATTTTCTTTTTTGATTATTGGCACTGAACTTACAATTCCCAGTGATATTGACCATTTTCTAAAAAGATGCCGTGGAAATGAAGGTTGGCTATATTAAAATGTATCTTGTCATTTTTTACGTATCTTAATATTTTCTTTTGTATAAAATATGGGTTAATAATTTATCATAAAAAGAGTCTTTTTCTCTATTGATCATGGCCATCTTTGGCTCCATACCGGCGTGATGAATCTGATCTGGATGAATATTTGAATGCTACACATCTCAATCTGAATTCTGACTTGTCATGCAGCCTGAATCATAATGACACCGTGTTTTTTCGTTGGCCAGTTCTTTTGTTCTGAGCCTGGTTTCGCCCAAAGTTTCTATTCTCCATTCTGTCACCTGATTGAGTTTGGGTTCCTTGCCACTGTTGTCTCTGGCTTAGTTGGGGATAATATTCAACAATATTATTGATCTGACTGTACTGATTTTGTTGAATGAGAAATGAACTGAGCTGGATGATGACATCACTTTTTGCAGAACTGCTTTATATGAAATGAACTAATTTAATAATTGATGATCTTTACAACAGAACTGAATCAACACTGACCTGACCTCAGCTGAACAACAGCTGAAATGCATAATTTCTCCATTTGCAATTTTTTTAATAGCCCAGATGAAGACCTGTGTGCGGAAATATGTAGGCAAAATAAAGAATTTTTCATATTTTGATTCTATCATTTTTCCCCCATTCCACAAGTTCTGCTGGTTTTGTTTTTGTGATCCATTGTAACATAGGATGATCAATAGCCCCCGACTGAGCAGTTTGCAGTACTCTTTCTTTTAAAACATCTTTCCTAAAAGACATTCTAAGTTCAGTAGTTAACGCAATTGAAAAAAGAAGGTGTGATAATATGTGTAATGTAGTCCTCAGCCCTATACCATCAACATTTATGTGAATTGTTATATCATCTTGCAGCTCAGCTTCAAACAATATGGATGTATGAATATTTGTCATACCAATAAAGTACCTTCAAATCTGCTTATTATAAGGGATGAATAACACATCTAACACGGTCATGTTAGTACACAATTCAGCACATTCCTCTAAATAAAATATCTGCAAGTTTACAACTGATGTGCTATTATAGTATTATGTAGCCTTCTATTATAGTATTTAATAATATTTTTTTATGTTTTTAGGTTTCACTTTAATTCTGTAGGTTTGCGATTGTCACGTTTATCATCTTTAATTTATTTCAGTTTTAGTTTTAGTAATTTTCGGTTAAAAAATGTTAAGCATGTTTTCAATTTATTTTTCATTTGTATCTTATTAATCCTTTTAATCTTACCTAAATCCTAATACATAAATTACATAGGATAGGACCTAAAAATATTTATAAATAAAAAATTGGACATAACCCTTATTATATGTGAAACAATTTTACAGCCTGTTTGATATCTTTTAGCCTATTTATTTTCAGCAATTTTGTACTTTATTTACCTGTCTAGTACTTTAGCACAGAATCTCTATTGCTCTTCAGCAATTTGTTATGAACCATAGCCTAGCCATGTGCATTTCCTCAAAGAATCAATTTCTCAATCTGTCATCTACTGTAACTGTAACAAAAAAGCTATTTTTGTATAAATTCACCAGATTTACATGACACCAGCTTTAACCTGATAGCCAATGCAAGGCTATCTATTTTTACACCTCCACAAACTTTATCCCATTGCACTTATACGTCACATTCTACACACGAGAACATGTGAAAGCTGACTTTTCCTTGCCTAATGCACTTAATGTTTTTCTTGGAATGTTGATAGATGGGAGTATCGTTACATTTAATCATAAGACAAATATAGTAAACTCTAAAAACCCTTTACTTTTTTTTCTGTAGATGTTTGAGACCTCGCACACCCCGTAGAAAGCATCTCGTGAGCGCGCGCAGGACTAACCGCGTCCCCGAGCTGACGCTTTTAACATCAGTCGGAGGTTCCCTTCGTATATCGGCTATTGGATTTATAAACTCGCACAAAAGGAACATTTAAAACGCTTAAAAACACATCGTCAGCAGGGCTAAGGTGAGTCGACAGTTTTTCTCCAGTCGCGTGCATGGCAGATAGTTTCGAGTAGGCTATTGTGAAAACGAACTGAACATGGCCCAGTATTGGGAGATGCATTTGTTTAGACGTCTCATGTGTTGTTAAATATTATTAGCAATAATCTATTTTTGCGGTTGGATCTTTAATAATCACTAAAGAGTGGTCGTATTTGAGACTTTGTGTTGAAATGTTGCCTCATATTCGTGGGCATTTTTTCACAATAAAAAAAAAATGCGACTTCAGGTGAGGCGCACAAATATTGGGTAACATAAAAGACGGGCTTGCGCACTCACGCGCTTTACGAAACTCGTGTTTAGGCTACTTTATGAGTTCTGAATCTGCGTGCATTTACAATAAACGGTGTCATCATATTAATTACGGGTATATGAACTTTATAATTCTCTTACTAGGCCTATCATTTAGACTTTTACTCCTGGATTGTTGGTGTCTTCATGTCGCCTCGTTTGCTTTCATATAACTTAATAACGTTAAGTGATAAACAATCTTTTAGTTTTTATTTTCAATGTAGTTTTTAATGTAGCCTGACGCTGGCTTTTGTTGATCGTAGAGCACATTAGACATTTTCTGACACACCCCCTTCAGTCTGAATTCGCGTGTCCTGCACATTATGCTTTTGTGTATAATTTTATTCTTTTTTAAATAACAAAATACCGTTATCGCTTATTTTGAATAAACTTCATGGAGCTTAATTTGTGAGCTAGAGATTTCCAATTCGTGAACGAATCGTATCTTTAGTCAAATTTCATGATTCAGTTGAACCGGTTACAAAACCGATCGATCTGAACCTCTTTGGGACAAACATGAGAACCGATGATGAGAGAGTTAACGAAAACAGATGTTAACGTAGCAGAATAGCAGATGTTAACGTAATTATGGAATACCATAATGGAATACATTTATTTACAACTTAATTGTATGACTGAATCATGGCTGCCTTGCACACAGTGACGACAAACGCCCATCATAAAACATGAATCAGTTGTGAACCGGTTCATTGAAACGAACTGTTTGAAAGAACCGATTCTTTCCGATAACTGGAGCTTGTGAGGTGGTCGTGTCATATAGCATGTCCTCCTTCCATAGAAAGAGAACATTGTGTTCTTTTTGAATGAGTAAAGAGATTGAGAGAGAGAGAGAGAGAGAGAGAGAGAGAGAGAGAGGTTCTGTTCAAAGATTCATGTATTATTTAGTTTTGCCTACCACCTGGGTAAAAAAAAAAAAAAAGGAATATAGTTTGATTGGGTAACCAATAACTGTAAGTGCATCTATGTGTGTGAGATTTTTAATTGTCTCTATAAAATCTGTTAAAATCATATTTTTTGGCTTTGAACTTTGATTTAAACAAGTGTCTTAACTTTCATCTCCGAGTTATTGTGTAGTTTGCTTTCTAGTCATGTCCTTTTTGACCAAACCAGTTCAATCCAGCTCTAGAGTTCAAACAATTCTCCCTACCCTCAGAAAAATCACATTTCTCACACACACCCTCCTTGTTTATATGACAACAGAAGTTTTCCACCATATGTGATATCTCTTTTCACTCAAGTTTGAATTGTCATTTTTAACTGTCAGTTTTTAATTACATTTTTTTCAAAATATGTACAGTGGTATAGCATGTCGGAACTAAAAAATGTTTTGCGTTGCCTTAACTAGCTTTTGACAGTTATTATCAGCATTAGTGTTGATACACTGCCTTCAGAATTTTCTTTTTGTACTCGAGATCTAATTCTATCTGACACGGTGAGTATGGGAGAATGACTGAATTGGCTCACATGTTATGTAAGTATAGTTGTGGCGATCTCACACACACAGTTTCTTTACTGTCTGCTTGTGTGTTACGACCAGCCATTCCCTGTTCAGGTCAGATGAGGGCTCTACTATTATTAATATATAAAAGAGACTGGGGCTAGTTGTCACAAATGCTATCAGCTACTCTGTTTTTTTTTTAAAATCTTTTATCTGAGACTTAGATCAACATGACTTCCCTTCCACGTGTCGTGCAGTGGCTGTAATGCACTTATAACCTCTCCTGCTGACTTTAGCTTTGGATTGATTAAGTTAATTGGCTTTACCTGCTCTGCTTGCGTGCGTGATACTACAACAGAGGCAAGAATAGATTCAAAAATCCCTCGTGAACCATGGCTGTGTGGACACAGGATTGCAAGGAGTTGCGGATCGCTGGCTTCACTCAAGAGTGGGGGTTGCTTACATTTTGGCTATAGCGAAGGCGAGACCCCTGGTAGATTGGAATGCTAGACTTATGCTTAGTTGCAACAGTGTGTGTTTTGTAAGGAAGAGACGTTTTCGTTGGTTTTAAAGTTCTATGCACTATAATTCTTTCTGCTTGTAAATGTTTTTCACACTTTGGGGTGTTTGGGGGTGTTTTAAAAAAAAAAAAATACTTTATCCAGCAAGGATGCATTAACTTGACCAAAAGTGAATCGAAAGACATGTATATATAATGTTACAAAAGACTTCTATATTAAATCAGTCATTTTCCTTTAAAAATTTAAGAGTCTAAAAATCTTAGAAATACTTCAGTTAAAAGTCCTGTATGTGTACATCTAATGTGTGTGTGCATTAAGTTCTAGCTGACAATGCTTTCTCTGTCTGTAATGTTAGAGCATTTGCTCAGTAACTGTCTGAGCACATTCTACACTGAGAGCAGTGTGTGTGCTGGGGGCCCCAGCCGTTTATTTCCAGCTTTTCCTGTAGACAGCTGTTACGCAACATGCGGTGCTGCACAACATGCGATTGATTGGTATTAGCTTTTGCACACATTAACAAACTTAATTTTGACCGATGCTAAATCTGCATTTAAAAGTAAATCAAAAGTGATAGGATTAAAAAATGTATCTTTTGTTATATTAGTTGGACAATGCAAATGTGATTTACTCACCCTCAAGCCATCCTAGGTAGCCTGGGAAAACCCAGACAACTTCCAGCAAATTTAGATTTCCTCTGAAAGTTAGTCTGGCAAAGAGCTCATTCAAACCCATTTCCAGTTCGCAGAAATCGTGGCACCAATCAGAAACGTTGGGGCGGGCTTTACGCGATGACGACAGCGCTAGGATTTTGAAGCAGATTTTTAGCCTACATTACAAAGATGGACGCCGCTGTCGAACATCACTCCCTCGAATCAGCTATCGCGTCTGTTTTTAAGTGATTTGAGCGTTTCCTTTTTGTTAAAAACTGAGCAAATAAAAACATTTGGAGATGTTTTGGAGGTGTTTCTCCGCCGGTCGCCGCTCTGTATATATGCATACATCATCTCCTTCATCGCTCTGATTAGTTTTAGGTCTACCCACGACGTCCGTTGGTGACACCCCTCTGGAAATGATTTGTCTATGACGTTTTGCCAGTTTTAACCAGGCTACATCCTAGGTGTATATATGACTATCTTCTTTCAGACGAACACAATCTGAGATGTATTTAAAAATATCTGGGCTCTTCAAAGATTTATAATGGGAGTGAATGGGTGTTGAGATTTTGAAGGCCAAAAAAATGCACCCATCCATCATAAAAGTAATCCATACGTCTTCAGGGGGTTAATCAAGGCCTTCTGAAGTGAAGCCATGTGTTTGTGTAAGAAACAAATCCATATTTAAAACTATTAGCTATAGCTTCCGGCAGATCACCGTACGCATACAGCTCAAGTCAACTTGCGTCACAAGAGTAACCCCTGACGCGATGTATGATGCAGGAGTGTAGTAAACTTAGATGTCTCCTGCGGTTTAAACAAATACGGCTGTGCAACAAACTCAAGCTCCTCTTCTTTTATATCGAAATCCTCAGAATTTCTCTTAAAAATTTCTTGTTTTTATACTTCTAATTTGTGACGGGTGTTTTGTTTTGCTCTGTCTTCTGCGGTCAGGGGTTGCTTTTGCGCCTGCATATGGCCATCTGCTGGAAGCTAGTTATAAGTTTAAAGTTTTAAATATGGGTATTTTTTTTTACAAAACCCTTCGCTTTGCATCAGAAAGCCTTTATTAATCCCCTGGAGCAGTATGGATTATTTTTTATGATGGATGGATGCAGTTTTTTGGGCTTCAAAATCTCACCCCCCATTCACTCCCATTATAAAGCTTGGAAGAGCCGGGATATTTTTTAAATGAACTCCGATTGTGTTCATCTGAAAAAAGATCTGTTCACTGGCGGAAGTTCGGGACAGCCTGTCACTCAGATGAGATCACAGCAGTAGCAAAAAACAACGATCCAATCAATTCCCATTGGACAAAATCATGCCTTCTCAACTCTTTTTGTGCATTCTGTCTCGCTATGATCCTTGATTTATTTGCATGAAATATTAGTTGGTTTCCCTGATAGTGTGCAGGCTGCTCCGAGCCTCAGGTCCTGTGGTGCGCGCCCCTCTGGCACATGTAAAGAGATCATGCATTCCACTAGAAGAATGTCAGATATGATGGGGGTGGTTTGGTGCCTGGTTGGGTTTTTGTGGCTCAAGGCTGATGCGTGTGACTGTGTGGGTGTGCTTGTAAGAATAGATGTAATATTGATTTCTTGTGTTTGTGTGCACCGTGTCCTTGAAAGTCACATCCGTAGCATCTCGAACATTGGAGCAAGAGAAGAACTTTGTATCATAAATTCTATGGCATTGGCAAGTAAAAAAGTGGTCGATCATGGTTCGTGGTGCGCTGATGGACACCTACGCTCATTCCTGGCCTTTTATGCATTTTTATGTTTTAAAGCAAGCATCAAAGCTTGCTTGTGTGTGTGTGTGTGTGTGTGTGTGTGTGTGTGTATAAATGTGATTGGGAATTTGTGTGTGCGCCTGTGAGTTACTGTTCGGTCTGATTGTCAGTGTGACACAGATAGTTGTTGATGGGGCATTCATTGAGGCCAGCTGAGGATAGACAGCAGCCAACTGTGATGTTCAGGATAGTGTCGGCACTGTTGGAACAGAGACATTGTTTAGGAATTTGTGTTTTGTCTCTGCCTTGTTTGGATAAAATGTGTTTGTGTATTTGTTTTTTATTAGGTTTGTATATGGTCGAAATAGTACGTGCAGGGAATTATGAGTTAGTGTGAAATAGGGTTGTGCCGATAGACGATAGTATCGTGTATCGACGATAGTCTGACATATCGCCGATGGCAGATGCCTTTGACGATATCAATACGATAATTGGCTCGTTTTACCATAATGTATTAAATTATTATTATTAGGCCTATTATTATTATTATTATAAAGCTAGTATTGTTATTAAATGAATATTAGGAACTACAATCAATTTGCCTTGCCTAAATTTACAACGACATCACCTCATAACAATTGCATCAACACACTAATGAGGACTCCTCCAAGAGAATGTTTTTAAAACAGACTAAAAAACATCCCACATCAAAATATAATTGCAAGGCGATCCATTCACAAATTATCAAGTGTGCTCGTTTTAACAGACGCAAAGTTCAATTTCCTACAGATCCAAGATGAAAACGGCATCGTTGTTCGTCAGTATTTGTTTCCGTAACACATTAACAAAACGTTTAATGACACTAACACTAAAAACAATACAATTACTAAATAGTATTAATAATAATATCACTAAAATAGTATTATATTACCGTTATCATCGTCGTCTCTGAGTGAACGCGGCGTTAATGCAGATGCCGAAAGCAGTCCGTTTTTACTTTCACTTTCAGAGATAGAGCGCGTTTACATGCGACGACTTTCTTAACCTGATTATGTTGAATAAACTTGACAATGCATGTGGTCATGTAAACGATTCCTTTATCAGAGTCAAGTCATAAGTATAAACCGATCGACTCAGCTAGACGTTTGGCCCTTGCTCTTGTTTCTCCCGGCATTTAAAACACATTAACCCGCGTACGTGCTTACTGAAGTGCGCATGTGAAGTGCGCAAAGAGCGCACTGCTAGGGGGGCACATATCGCAAACTCCGACTTTTTCTGACCCAAGAAATTATTAAAACGTGTTTTCATCTCGTGCAGAAATAGACCCTAGTCAAAATGCTGCATGTAACGGCATGAGGATAGGCTAATGTGTCCGTAAATTTCCCGTTGACAAACAAAAGGATTAGGATCTCTTTTTTTTACCTCACTATACCAGGAAATAACCTGATCCTATTAATAAACACTCCACCTTTGCTAGCAAAATAGAAAAAAGATTCTCGTATATAAAACGAAGTAGGCTAATAAAACAAGCAAATTAATGAGTAGGCTGAATAATCAAGTTAATAATCAAATAAGTTAGCCCCGCCCCCTCACGATAATATCGTGTATCGCCGATCTCACAGGCTGACGATAGGACGATATGAAAATGGAGCATATCGCCCAACACTAGTGTGAAAGCTGTTTGAGTTGAAGTGTTGAGTTTTAATGAAGCAAAACCTTGATTTCAGGATCCAATTAGTAGAGATGCACAACACACTTACAAGCATGTAAACATCCCTTATGACCAATGAATTATTCTGTACACAATCTGATTATGAGATTAAAATTCTATGTTGATAAGTCCATTGTCATGCTTAACTTCACTTAACAAAGCTCAAATTCTGATTGCAGAATTTCTGACAGAATTGGGATGGGATCGCAACGTGCAGTTTCCCATCAACCTGTCTGGCTCTCATTTGGATCAATACGACATTGTCTCACAACAAACCTTTTTCTATTCATAACTAATGGCAGCTCCTAAATGGCTATATAGCAAAAAAGCACTAATCTTTCTGTACAACCTTATGATACCATGTAGCTGATGGACTTGAAAGGAGGACTTGAAGGACCTAAATAAACAAAAAATTGTATTTGAAATTATATAAATATAGGGGTTTAAACTGTTATCACTAAAACATAATTGACGTTATTGAGGAATTTGTTTTTTTTGCTGTTTTTCATTCATCAGTATGTTCCTTTGTTTGTAGGTAGAAATAATTTGTCAGCAATGATTCATCAATTAATTCTGATCAAATTTAATATATAAGTATTGATTAATAAAACAGTTGAATGACAGAGTGCTGAAATTGTGATTTTTGTGACCTCTGACCCCTGCAGGGATGGAGTTCCCTGTAGATGTGTTGGTGTCTGTGAGACATGAAGATTTGGAAAGTTCAGCCCAGAGCTACATGAACAAACTGCTTTACAGCAACCCAAATAACACACAATACCTTACCCTGCCCAGCACCAGAAAGGTAAAGCACACACACGCACACACACACACACACGCACATGCACACACACATAGACAAGAGCTCAGATAACACTAAATATAACCCTTTTTTGCATAAAGTTATATCCAAAGTTTATTGTTTGCCATGGCAATGAAACACCTAAAACTGCAAAACAACAATAATAGGAACTTTACAGCTCAAATAATACACAAGTTTTGTACTGAAAAATGGAAAAGGTTAGTTCACCAAAAAAGGAAAATTCTTTCATTAACTACTCACCCTCGTATCTTTCCAAACCCATAAGACTTTAGTTCATCTGTGGAACACAATTAAGATATTTTTTTTTAAATGAAATATGAGAAATATCTTATCCCTTAATAGATGGCTATGCAATTGGAATTTTGATGCTTCAAGAAGTTCATAAAGAAATCGTAAAAACAATCCATATGAATTGAGAGGTTTAGTCCACATTTAGAAGAGACTCGATTGCTTTATATTTTGCAAAAAAATATAATCACGGTTATTAATCAGATATTCCAGAGAAAGTTAACACACACCTACACACATTTGTTTATATAATTATCAAAAGGGACAACAGACAGACTGGCTGTATCTGTATGACACAATTATTCATTGAAGCAGAATTTCGCTAAACTTCAACATACTTGTCTGTCGGTGATCAGCATTTTTTTTGCAGCCCAGAGAGTGCATGTGGGCATGGTTGCCAGGTTAAGAAGATTAAGTTAAACACTGGACAGAAACGTATAACGTTTAGGTTATTTACAGTTATGCTCAAAAGTTTACATACAATCTGCAAAATGTTAATTATTGCATAAAATATTTCAATAAGAGGGATCAAACATAACCAAAAAAAATGTATTATTTAGTACTGTCCTGAATAATGTATTTTACATAAAAGATGTTTACTTATGATGGTTGTTCTTGAGTCCCTTGTTTGTTCTGAACAGTTAAACTCGCCAATGTTCTTTAGAAAAATCCTCCAGGACCTGAAAAATCTTCAGTTTTCCAGCACATTTTAACCCTTTCCAGCAGTGACTGTAATTTTGAGATCCATCTTTTCACACTGAGGACAACTGAAGTTTGTACAAAAGTTTGTCTTCCGGGAAACATTCTGTTGCGTCCGGTACTAAATTATTTCTTCTTCTTCTTCATTTTTTTTTTTTTACAAAATAAGAAAAATCTGGACGGCATCACCCTGTTCAAAACGTTTTTCTGGACAAAACAACATGCAGTCTGTATGATCCCTTATTTTGTTAAAATAATGAACATTTTGCAGATTCTGCAAGGTGTATGTAAACTTTTCAGGATGATTGTATGCTCTTGACATCTGGCAACCGCATGCAGGAAATATAGTGGAGACTCGTTAGCAATTCAAGATAACGGAAATGTCAAATGTTTTCATGACAAATAACCAATTTTGCAAAGGTTATTTTTAAATAATCGAGATAAGCAACTTAGTTGTTATCACACCTAAAATACAGTTAATCGTGCAGCCCTAATTAATGTAAGTGCTTTTTAAAAGTAACTTTTTACTTGGCTCTTTTAGATCCTAATCAGTCCTGCCAATGTCGGGTTTGTTCCTCTTTATGGAACCAACCTCAAACACAAAGTCCTGGCTCTGTTTGCTCCTGAGGACCAGTTCACAGGTAACCCATTTTCTTTCCCTTTTTACCTATGATAATATATTGGATGGACTTATAGGATAGTCTGTTTCTTAGACTCTTATTTTTCTTTATTCCTCTTCTTCTCCCTTCGCTTATTTTATCTTAGCTGTGGCATTGTTCTTGGCTGATCAGTGGTACACAGTGGAAGATATTCTCAGAACGTCAAATCCTACAAGAGAAGGCCTTGCAAAGGTAATCTTTAATTTTTTGGAATGGTTTTTGTTTTTCATGAAATTATTCAGACACATTTTTGTACTTAGAACAGTGTCTTTTTAGAAGGTTCTGCTTCTTTGCCAAGTCAATAAAAACTGGAATCTGGCATTTTCTTCAAGGCCTTTTTAAGGACTTGCAAATGTTCTCAAGCACTCCTACGATGATCTTGTGTTTATATATATATATATATATATAGTGTTTGAGGAGTGAAATATAGTGGTTTGGCCAAACAAATAATTGCAAACAGGCAGTATTTTGTTGCTGATCAGTGAGCCTTTGTCTCAGACATTATGCTTTGCATACATGGGCTTGTTTTCATAATTCCTCACAGCAAGATCCTGAAATGGTTCTCTAAATGTACACACAGGAACTCTTTCTCTCATTAACTCAAAAATACACAATGCACTCATCTTCTGTGAGCTTGTATTCGTTCATTCCTCTCCGCTGTGCAGCGTAACACATTCCGTGTGTTGTAATATCCTGTGAGACAGACTGGATCTCTGCAGGAATGTCACATTTATTTCCTGACTCTTGCATTACATTGTACACCTGTTGCTGAGATGTTTCATTTTAATTTGTAATTTTTAATCAAAATGTCATAATCTTTTAGTAAAACGGCAGGCTTCACTCTGGTGTCGAATGTCAGACTTTTCCAATATTTAAACCACTTTAAGTTCTTTCATATACACAGTTTCACACAGTTGCGTACATCACGTCACGTCACAAAAAAAAAAAGATGCCACTACTTCTGTTACATCATGACTTAAGGAGCGAAAAGCCACAAGCAAACCTGATGTTCCTCAAACACTATTCATTCTCTTTTGTGTATAATTGTGTTTGGGCAGGTAAGGTCTGTCGGTGAGAGGATAGTCTTATATGTACTGAACCGCATCATTTACCGGACGGCGGAAATGGGTTCTAACGAGGTGCCGTTCCTGTGCCATGGAGAAGATGAAGATGCCAAAATCCTCTGGACGAATGGAGAGGCAGTGGGCTTCTACTCTGTCAAATCTAAAGGTCGGTCCTTCTCCCTGGAGAGTGTGGCTGTGCGGTAGACGCATTGCTCATTCTTCCTTCCTGTGTAAGTTTACACCATAAACAATCTATGGTGTCTTCAATTAAGGATGAGTGAGATATAAAACCTGGTGTTGCCTAGCTTGTAAGAAGGCAAGCTCATAAGATTCAGTAATGTGGTCTAGGATTAAAGATTTGGGCTTGTAAAGGAAGGTTAAAAGACTGCTAAAAAAATCAACATTATTATTATTATCCTAAGAAAGATTTGATTTGTCATTTAAAATCTAATTTGTGTCGCATAAGTAAAAAAAACATGCTTTAATAAATACATATGTAGTCATGAGTCAATAGTCAATTATGCGATAAGGCAATTATGGCACCTTTTAATTTTTTTAATTTAAATTCCAAAACAGGAATGGCAACTTTTAATTTTCATATAATAATGACTTGGTATGTCATAATTTTGATGTAATTTAGGCTTTTTATGTCAGAAGTTTGAGTTAGGATCTTAATTTCGACTTTCAACCTTTTTATGTCATATTTCATCATTATTTTTAACTTTTTCTATGTTATAATTCAGTATTTTTATATCATAATTATGACATTATCTCACAATTTTGTACTTTTTTAATTGTGACTTACCAAAGCATGATTATTTTTCTTATTTAGTGGAATGGCTATAACTCTATGTGGGTAATTATATTGGATATTATTATTATTATCCAATATAAGTTTTACTGGTAGTAAATATAAGTGTCACTGTTCAAGATAAAGATCTAAACTATTTTTTACTGGTGTTGTAGATGGAAACCAGTGAAACATGCAGTGGTTGTGCTCCAGATGTTTCTTATATTCGTGTTCCTTCTCACCCACAGGTAGCTTGTGTAATACCTTTGTGAGCCAGTGTTATCTACTTCCAGTCATGGACTCTATATTTGTGCGGAAGGATCACCGTGGTAACGGTCATGGCTTGCAGATGTTGGAGGACTTTGTGGACTCTTTTAAAGATGATGAACTAGGCTTAAAATACCCTTTAACATTGGCAATGCAAAAGGGTAAGATATCTATTTTACTTTTTTGAATGCCTATCTAAAAAGAAGGAAAAAAACATTTGTGTTTAAAAACACAGTGTTTACTTTTAGTACTCAAAGTAACTTTAATAATCAAATGAACAGGTTTTCACTTGTATTTAATGTTACGGAAATATTTCTATTTCAAATAAATGCTGTTTTTAAACTTTCTATTAAAAGAGTCCTAGAAAAATGTATTTTCCACAAAAGAATATTAAACAGCTCTATTAAAATAGAAAAACGTTATTTGAAATTGAAATGAGGGGCCAAGCACTGAAAGCATAAAGCAAATGCGTTGGCACTTATTGAAATCGTTGGCGTTTTTTATTTTATTATTTTTATTATTATTATTCAGCTCTGGAAGTATATTGGCAGCCCATAGAACTGCTTATGGGAAAGTTATGAAATTTGGGACATTGATAGAGGATATTCTGAAATTTCACCATAGCAAATCAGGAGTCTCTAACTCAATCCCTCTAGCACCACCAACTGTCCAAAGATTCACTCATGTAAAATAAAAATTTCAAATGTTTATAACTCTGGATGTTGTTGACTTATTTTCACGGGAGTCCCTTAGATTTTCACGATCTGACAGTATATTTCATTATTTACTTTTACTTTATATTATTGTAATTATAAAGTAAAAGTTATATAATATGTTTACTAAGTGTATAAAAAGAGTGAGTAAGAAGTATGATGTTCTCCAGTATGCAGACAGTACCTGAACAAGTACCCAGTCGATGTGGATCTGCTGTGGGAGGTGGAAGGAGTTGGAGGTCCCTACCAGAAAGTGAAAGTGGCAAGCAAACTTGGCTCTTTGATACTACAATGTAAGCTTTTGCACTGGCTCTGCCTGGGTCGCATATGTCACTGACCCTCAGTCTAATATTACTTTCGAGATTCCTGCTAAAATGCTAGCATTTTTAGCTGGAGGGTTTTTTTTTCTAAAAATACCAGCCTTTACCAGTATATCTCATTGCTCATTGCAAGTAACCTCACACTATCAGCTAAATTTCACAACAACAACAGTTGATTTATAGGTTAGATATTAGGTTTATTGTTTGTGTCTGTCTCCATACAGGTAACAATAGCTCATGGGCAGCAGAGGAAGGCAAAAATGGCGAAGTTGCAGTTAATGAGGTGGAGATGAACGAGGAGAGCTGCCTGGACATCACAGTAAATTTAAAGATCCTATCTTTATATATAGATATTTTTTTTAGCTTTATTATTTTAGTAAAAGGGCTAAATACAACTTCGCAGAAAAGGTTTTAGCATGCTGTACCTCAGAGAATTTATATCTCTAAATGCATCTCATTCAACTCAGAGCAATGGTCCGTTTATTAATAATATTTAGGTCTTTATTGTGTGTTTGGAGGATTATGATTTTTTTTTTTTACTTTAAAAGACTATTTGTCCTAACTTAAGTATTTATTTACATGTTTGAATGTTTGTGTTTGGCATCCGTATATTGTTAAGAAAAACATTCAAACTGGTGGTTTCTGGCGTATATTTTTAAACGAGTTCACGCAGCAAATATGTAGTTTATCACATTCCTACTTTGTTGCGTTTTTTTTTTCTCTGCATGTGAGATATTTACGTATAGATATTTAAAGAGTCTGTTAACCCTTGACTGAAAAGAGTGACTTGTTTTAATTTTGGTTTTACAGGAAGATGTGGTGGTTGTCAACAAACATCTTACAGTAGCAGAAGGTTTGAAGTTTTGTTCTAAAAACACCCTTTCCTACTAAATTCAAGTGGGTGTTAAAACCTTTTTTTTCTTTCTTCCTCTCGCTGTAGAAATTAATGACTTGCCCATTTCCACACGCACACGGAGCATCGGACATAAACAAAAGAAAAGGCCAAGGGATGAACCAGAAGAGAGTGACGTGGAGAACCAACCTGAAAAAATGAGCAGGTTTCTAAAAGCCCTCAAGTTTGCATTTGGGATTTACTCATGTGTGCCACTGAGATCAAATGTATAATATCATATCATGTATGATATCATATCATAGCATATGTATAATATTGCAACAGGCTCTTAAAATGACCCTCTGCCATGAGTATGATAGTGAACTGTTGATATTAAATACTGACAGGATAAAATATAGTACAAGAAAACATGGTTTATGTGGAAAAAAAAAAAAAAACCGTAGACATGCACTGAAGGAAGGAGTGACCAAACCACCCTGAAAAACACAAACACTTTACACCTAAGGTTCAATTTGTTAATGTTAATTAATACATTTAGGTATGATGAGCTAATGATTAACAATTTGTACAGCATTTATTAAGCTAGGGCAATGTTAATTTATAAATACTAGATTATTAATTATAAATTCATGTAGTTCATAATATACTAACTATTGCTGTATTATTTAAAAAAGGTGATGTATTAGTAACGTTATAAATTAACATTATTTTTTGTGTTAGTTCGTAATATACAGTACTACCATTCAAAATTTGAATGAGATGTTTTTGACAGTAGTCTCTTATTCTTACCAAGGATGCATTTATTTATTGACAAATACATATAAATAATAAATATATCAATGAAAAAGTTTATTTTAATATATTTTGCAGTGTAACTTTTTTCTAAGCAGAATTTCCAGCATCATTACTCATTGGATTGTCTTCAGTGTCACATGATCCTTTAGAAATCATTCTAATATGCTGATTTGCTGCTCAATTAATCTTTTATTAATGCTGAAAACTGTTGTGCAGCTTAATATTTCTGTACCACAGAATATAATGTAAACAATGTAGTAGGATTGGATTAATTATATTGTCTTTTTTTATATCATTTAAAATCTGTCATTTGTCTTTAGATTGGTTGAACCAGAAGCAGAGACAGAACCTGATGCTGTTGTACCTGAGACTAAAAAACAGAGGGATGGAGAAGAAGAAGAAGAAGAAACCTTGGTCCAGGTGAAGGAGGCTGTGACCGCCATGGCTCCTGCAACAGACACCGAAATTCTGGTGAGGGACAGGGGGGCTAAACACAGTGGCAACCTTTGTTGGATGTCTTATCTGGTACATTACTTCATCATTAGTTTAATATAATAAGGACGAGCAAGTTGGCAACAAACAACGGTTGCCAATGTAAAATATGTTTGTGGCTCATAAAACCAGTATGTTTTGTGTAAAAGTTTGCATCTCTGGTACACATGCAAATATATGCACACCCAAAGCTCAGGTATCCAATTTCGATCTCTCTTTAAAGGTGGCCGAAGTCAATGGAGAAATAAGTGACAGCCAGGAAGTGAATATTGAGAGGTCAGCAGACACATCAGAGGATGCACAGGCTGACCAAGTATGCCCACTAGAGCCAGATGCTGTCATTCAAAATGGCGCTGTTGAGGAGATGGAGGTAGAGAGAGAAGCACAGGTAAGCTATTTAGTTCAGGTTGAGGTCAAGGTTGAACTGTTGCAATGTTTGAGTAATCTGTATACGCTACCATTGCATAGTTTGAATTTGGTAAGATGTCTCTTATTTTGAACTCTTTTCTATTTTAATATATTTTAAAATGTCATTTATTTCTGTGATGGCAAAGCTGAGTTTTCAGCATTATTACTTCAGTCTTCAGTGTCACGTGGTCCTTTAGAAATCATTCTAAAATGCTGATTTAGTGCTCAAGATACATGATTTATTGTTGTCATTGTTAAAAGAAAACCATTGCTCAATTTTTTTTGTGAAAACAGTGGTCATTTTTTTTTCCAGGATTCTTTGAGTTCAAAAAGAGTGATATAGAACATTATTTATTTGAAATAGAAATAATTTATAACATATTCAAAGTCTTTACTTTTAATCATTTTAATGCATCCTTGCTAAATAAAAGTGTTCATTTCTTTCAAAGCACATCTTATTGACCTCGAACTTTTGAACATTGGTGTATAATGGTGCCGAACATCTTAATATAAATGATAAATGTTCTTCAACCATGCACCCAACAACTGCTCTCAGTTTCTGGCAGTGCTGATAAACTCTTTAAAAACTAACTAATTTTAAATATTTAACAAAGAACATTGTTAATATTGTCATGTAGGCAATACGAAGTATGAATCTTACTCAAGACATTTCTCAAGTTTTTTTTTTATGATTAAGCGCATCAATGTTACTCCTTCATATTAGACTAGAACTAAACACATTCATTATTACCCCATTTGTCTTATGAAGGATGACATCATCGACACACCTAAGGAGTCTGAAGAACCATCTGAAGGGATGGAGCAGATCGACCAAGAACTTGTTACTGAGGAGCAACAGGAAGCAGAGACAGAAGTTGCTCTTCCTGTTGAGGATGAAGGGGAAGTTGAGCAGGAACAGAATGAGGAAGTAACTCCTGCAGTTGAAGAGGAAGGAGTTTCTGCAGTTGAGGAAAATGAGGACACTCGTCCACCCGCTGTTCCTGAGGCTCCAGTCCTTCAGACTGACCTGATTGAGTGTGTTTCCTCTGTGCAGGACAGTGAGGCTTCAGAGGAACCTGCCGTTCCTGAGCAAGAAGCTCCAGAGGAGGAGACGGCCACTTTCCCTAGTGCTACAGGTGAAGAAGGGGTTATTATAAAGACCAAGGGGCCAACTATGAACCAAGAAGATGAGACGGCCTCTGATGAGCCACTTGAGACAGAAGAAAGCCAGCCTGCCATGGAGGACTCTGAAAAAGAGAGGCCAGAGGAAGAGAATCCACCTGAGACTGGTGAAAAAGATAAACAGAAAGAAGAGGACAACACCGTCACCACTGAAGATGATGATGAGGGCAAAAGCTCAGATGAAACTCACGATTCTTCTCCTGGGGTTCGAGTTCTCAGAGGAGGCAGGGGCAAACCAGTCCCACCTACACCCAAGCGCACATCCGGTAGACTGAGCAAAGCTGTGGTCGTACAGGTGCTCGATGAGGAGTTTGATGAAGAAGAAGAAGAGGAGGAGGAAAAGCTCACAAGCACCGAAGAGGAGAAGGGAAGCACAGAGGAAGATGAAGCTGCCGAACACAATTCTGAAGATGAGGAAGAGCCTCCGGTGATTGACAGAAGAGTGTTGCGGAGGAAAACCAGAGCGATCCAGTCCACACCCACAAAAGCAAAAAGACGCAGTAAAAACTGAATACATTTATTCTTCATGACACTCTTGACGCCGTAAGTTAGCAGCACTAGAGCAGCACTAGGACTAGAGCGTATTGATAATCTTTTATACTTGGGTGAGGGTTTGTAACAAGTGGGTTTTGGTTTAGGTTTTGTTTTACTACTAAAAGACAGAAAAAAAAAAAAAAGAAAAAAAAAGTTTGTTAGTATGTTGTAAGCCCCGCCCTTAATATACAGTGCTGACTGCTAACCGATTTTAATCACTCTTTTCTTTTGATTTACCTTTATAATTGACTTATTTACTGATCCACGGCTTAGACTGCTTTAAAAAAGCAGCTAATTTTGTGAATTACCCATAATTTTCCAGCTTTAATGTGAAGATCTTATATTATATGTGCAGTGAATTGAGTTTCACTAATATTGTTTCTGATTTTGTGTATTTCAAGTTCTCAGAAGTGTTAAACATTAAAAACCATTTCAATTTTAAGTGTAACACACTTAAAACAATAAGGTTTCAAGGAAACACCTCCACAATTTCATGTTATAATGACAGGTTTTTAAGTGTTTTTCCAAAATGTGAATTAATATACACTATGCTACAAATACTTTACTATATATATATATATATATAATAAAGACTTAAATATGCAAATATGTTTATACCTGGGGGAAGTGGAGGTTTGTATAAAGTTTACATGTAGGCTTATTTGTTTACGGTGTGGTTACATACAGTATATATACACAAGTAAAGAGTAAGGACTGAAATTAGCATCCAAAACACTTGTTATAATTAACGTCTTATTGTCTTTTTTATGTCTTATTTAATTTTTTAAATACACTAACACTAGGTTATACATTACGCTGAAAACGAATACATAAAATTTAATTGTGGCTTTAAAGGGATAATTCATTAGAGTCTAACAACTTGAGGGTGAGTAAATATGACAATTTAATTTTGGGGTGAACTATTCCTTTAAGAAAAATCACGATTTGTGATTACACCTTTAAAATTTGACTCATACTGAATTCAATTAACGTTAACGTCATCCTTTTTTTAAAAATCTCATTTATATTCTTTAAGCTGTGAAAGAAGCTTGCACGGTTAGAGTTTGAGTTTAACACTCCGTGGTTAATATGGGCGACCACATGAGGGCGCACTTGGATGCTAAAAAGAGCCATTGCTGGAGTCTGTTCACATTGTGCTTGCATTTTTATATCGGGTGAAAATATGGAAAGGGACACTAGAAAACACTATTTAATGTGAATTCTTCTGGATTTCCTCTCAACTTGAAGTAGCCTAGGCAAAGTTCATGCTTTTTGTTAAGAGGGAGATTTCGATTTCGATCAGAATCTTTAGTGCTTTAAACTTTATTTACTTGTTTTAGGTGTTTGAGCAATATTTTTCTGGAGTAGTTTTCTCAAACTGTGATTTTTTTTTAATTTTTTTTCCCCTGTAGTTAATAAATAGCTTTCTTGTAAATATGTTCCTTGTCCTCTTCAGTTTTTTCAACACAGTTTCTTTCACACAAGTGCATAAATATTAATGCTCTGTGTGAACATACACATATGGATGAGGCAGAGTGATTTTCTACAGCTGTAGGGTGGGTTGAATGATATTTCAGTGCCAATCATTTGCTAAGCAAGGTTTGTCAGAGTGCATGTTCCGCCTCTTTTGTGTTTTCTAACAAAAGCCGCCCAGCTGGCTTCCTCTGCCTTACCATACCTTGTTCTTCCTGCTTTTATCCATTTGCTTTTATCAAGCTTTTATCAAATTTGAGACCATTTCCACATCTGTTATATGCTTGTAACATTGCTAATCTTAACCCCCTCAGACCTGAATTATCTTTCAAGTTTCAGAAAAATATAAAAGTACATTTTCCCAGCTCATGAGGTTTCTGTGAATGAAAACAAATGAATTTATATATATATATATATATATATATATATATATATATATATATAAAATTGCTTTCATTGTGATTTTTTTTTTTTTTTTTTTTTTTTTGGATATTCCAATGGACATCAGGTCAAAACCGGTGTACTTCCCAAAAATGTACCAACATGAAATAAATTAATAAACATAAAATTTTTTGGTCTATACTTTAAGATTTTTCTCAAAGTCAAAACAATTCCAGCAGTATACCATTTCAACTATAATTTTGAGGTTTTTGTTTTACAGATTGCACATTGTTTGTAACAAACTAAATATATTCAAATCAATCAATCTGGTCATATTAAGAGTCATTTTCTGTGTACAGTGAGTGTGTTTTTTTTAAGAACAAAAACTTGAACATTATAACATTACAACTTTAATTGTAAGGTTTTTCCTTTATATATTGCACATTTGTTTATTCATAACAAAATAAACCTAGGAATCAATCAATGCATTCATGTTAGAGTCATTTCCTGTGTGCATCCTGTGTTTTCTTGTGTTTTTACAGTACTGGCAGGATGGTTGCCAGCAAGTCACTGAATTTCGATTTCCAGTTACTCTAGCTAGCTAGTCAAAGGGCGAAAAAAAGGTCTATTCCATCCTTGGGCCGTAGGCAAACAGACGTGGGTTGGCGGACGAGCACGCCGGCCCCCCGAAATATATTAGAGGACCGGCCGACGGTGGCCCCGGGCCTCGCCGAAAGGGGCGAGGGCACGCCCTGTCATGATGAAAACCATTTATCTTCACTCAGCTGGGGCCCCTGAGTCCGTGGCACCAACCGCCATCCCATAATTCCACTGTCCACAAACCCACTATTTGTCCAATAACCCACTATTTTTGAAAAGTACTAACCCTGGCCTTCATGCAATAAGCTGCAAGTGGACAAAATCCCACCTGCAATCTATTGAGTGGGGATTCAGACAGTTTTTTTTGATGGACATTTTAAATAAAGTTTCTGTCATGATGAAAACCATGTATCTGCACTCAGCTGGGTTCGTAGCACCAAGTGCCATCCCATAATTGACCTATGGCTAAGCCACGCCCTCAAACGTGATGAGCCAATCACAGTGCGCAGCTAACCCAATACACTCGGACATTCTCTGCTTCCACTTCCATTGAAATGCATTAGTTAGTTTTCATTCGTTTTTTCTTGTTATTTTAAGTTTAAAATGGTCAAACGGTGTGCATGGGGTACATGCAACTCTGACACTAGGTTCCTGAGAGGCTGGCCGACGGTGTGTTTTTTAAATTTTTTTTTTTTTTTACCCTTTCCCAAGCCACATATCAACTGAGATCATAGACATATACACTAGAACTCACCTTGGGGCTCTAAGCATGCGTTAAAACCGCCACCATCTTGGAACAGGGGTCTTGTCATAGGAAGTAGCTAGGTAATGCTGCTATCTTTGCCTTTACGTCGAATTCATTGATGGTGGCGGACTTTTGTGCAGCGTATGATGTTCACGGATGAAATCTGAACTAGGAAGAATGCTTCCTAGTTAAAAAAAATAAATAAATAAATCTTTCTGGAATCAATGATAAATACATGTCTGACCGTTGGAACAAACCAAAAAAACAAGAAAAATAGCATTCATGATGATTTATGGTGATATTATTTCCGTTAGACCTGTGTCTGCTACATTGACGCTGACGCATTAAAGTGGAGGGACTCCCCTGTTTCAAGATGGCGGCTCTATTGACGCATTTGTTCCAATGAACTGGATTCTGATGGAGGGCCATGGGACTTAGACCTGAGTGCAAAAATGGAGGGTCTAGACCCTTCCAGAGCTGAGATATTAAGATATTTATAATAACATAAATGCTACGTGGGATCTCAATATCTCAGCATTGGAAGGGTCTGCTCTGGATAAAGTTATGGGGTAGCTACACCACAACACCAACTAAACGTGGATAAATTAAACAAGGATGTCTACATCGATCTGATCTATGTTGAGTCAACAACATATTTGAACGTTATCTTTAAAATCTCTAACGTTAGTATAACGTTAGACGTACATTAGAAAACATTAACGTTAGCTTCAGCTGCGTTGTACATCATGTCTAAATGTACTAACCCTGGCCCTCATGCAATAAGCTGCAATTGGACAGAATCCCGGCTGCAAACTATTGAATGGGGATTTGGATAGTGTATTTTTTGGACATTTTAATTAAAGTTTCTTTCATGATAAAAACTATTTTACTGCACTCAGCTGGGGCCCTTGAGTCCGTAGCACCAAGCGCCATCCCATAATTCCACTGTCCACGAACCCACTATTTTTATAATGGCATAAATGCTATGTGGGATGTCCATATCTCAGCTCTGGAAGGGTCTAGAGCCTCCATTTTTGGAATCAGGTCTAAGTCCCATGGCCCTCTATCAATATCCAGAGTTTCGAGAAGATTGGAGAAACTCAGAATTTCGACCCGAAAAAAACAAACCTGTCGACTTTTTCGGTGCAAAAAAAAGTTTCTCTGATCTTCTTGAAACTCTGGATTCTGATAGAGGGCCATGGGACTTAGACCTGAGTGCAAAAATGGAGGGTCTAGACCCTTCCAGAGCTGAGATATTGAGATCCCACGTAGCATTTATGTTATTATAAATATCTTAATATCTCAGCTCTGGAAGGGTCTAGACCCTCCATTTTTGCACTCAGGTCTAAGTCCCATGGCCCTCCATCAGAATCCAGAGTTTCAAGAAGATTGGAAAAACTTATTTTTTCGCACAAAAAAAAAAAAACGAAAGGGGCACTGTCGTTTTTTTTCGGGTTGAAATTTTGAGTTGCTCTGATCTTCTTGAAACTCTGGATTCAGATAGAGGGCCATGGGACTTAGACCTGAGTGCAAAAATGGAGGCTCTAGACCCTTCCAGAGCTGAGATATTGAGATATATATGATGGCATAAATGCTACGTTGCATGTCAATATCTCAGCTCTGGAAGGGTGTAGAGCCTCCATTTTTGCACTCAGGTCTAAGTCTCATGGCCCTCTATCAGAATCCAGAGTTTCAAGAAGATTGGAGAAATTCATTTTTTTCGCACAAAAAAAACCGAAAGGAGTACCACTGTCGTTTTTTTTATCGGGTCGAAATTTTGAGTTGCTCTGATCTTCTTGTAAGTCTGGATTCTGATAGAGGGCCATGGGACTTAGACCTGAGTGCAAAAATGGCGGCTCTAGCCCCTTCCAGAGCTGAGATATCGAAACTCAAAAATTCGGCCGGAAAAAAAACGACAGTGGTACTTACGTTTCCGTTTTTTTTTTTTCGGGCGAAAAATTAAGTTTCTCCAATCTTCCCAAAACTCTGGATTCTGATAGAGGGCCATGAGACCTAGACCTGAGTGCAGAAATGGAGGCTCTAGCCCCTTCCAGAGCTGAGATATCGAAACTCAAAAATTCGGCCCGAAAAAAAAACGACAGTGGTACCCCTTACGTTTTTTTTTTTCGGGCGAAAAATTAAGTTTCTCCAATCTTCCCAAAACTCTGGATTCTGATAGAGGGCCATGAGACTTAGACCTGAGTGCACAAATGGAAGCTCTAGCCCCTTCCAGAGCTGAGATATCGAAACTCAAAAATTCGGGCCGAAAAAAAAAAACGACAGTGGTACCCCTTACGTTTTTTTTTCGGGCGAAAAATTAAGTTTCTCCAATCTTCCCAAAACTCTGGATTCTGATAGAGGGCCATGAGACTTAGACCTGAGTGCATAAATGGAGGCTCTAGCCCCTTCCAGAGCTGAGATATCGAAACTCAAAAATTCGGCCGGAAAAAAAAAGACAGTGGTACTTACGTTTCCGGTTTTTTTTTTCGGGCGAAAAATTAAGTTTCTCCAATCTTCCCAAAACTCTGGATTCTGATAGAGGGCCATGAGACTTAGACCTGAGTGCAAAAATGGAGGCTCTAGCCCCTTCCAGAGCTGAGATATCGAAACTCAAAAATTCGGCCCGAAAAAAAAACGACAGTGGTACCCCTTACGTTTTTTTTTCGGGCGAAAAATTAAGTTTCTCCAATCTTCCCAAAACTCTGGATTCTGATAGAGGGCCATGAGACTTAGACCTGAGTGCAAAAATGGAGGCTCTAGCCCCTTCCAGAGCTGAGATATCGAAACTCAAAAATTCGGCCCGAAAAAAAAACGACAGTGGTACCCCTTACGTTTTTTTTTTTCGGGCGAAAAATTAAGTTTCTCCAATCTTCCCAAAACTCTGGATTCTGATAGAGGGCCATGAGACTTAGACCTGAGTGCAAAAATGGAGGCTCTAGCCCCTTCCAGAGCTGAGATATCGAAACTCAAAAATTCGGGCCGAAAAAAAAAACGACAGTGGTACCCCTTACGTTTTTTTTTTCGGGCGAAAAATTAAGTTTCTCCAATCTTCCCAAAACTCTGGATTCTGATAGAGGGCCATGAGACTTAGACCTGAGTGCAAAAATGGAGGCTCTAGCCCCTTCCAGAGCTGAGATATCGAAACTCAAAAATTCGGCCCGAAAAAAAAAACGACAGTGGTACCCCTTACGTGTTTTTTTTTTGGGCGAAAAATTAAGTTTCTCCAATCTTCCCAAAAC